CCGAGAAAACCAATCATTTGACAGCATGGCGCCCGGTCCATTGCCTGTTGGTAATTGAGGACCCCTCTTTGACTTGTGTATTTCTTCTAGTCCCCTGCCGTAATAATTATGCATGCTCCGACTAGGTTATTGATTTGTCTCTGTAATGCCGGAGGGAGTGGTTATCAGTCCCAGCTGGGTTTGGAGCCAACTTTCCTCATCTTGTCATGATGAGGTCACTCAAATTGAGATTGCCACAATTTGGAGGGTGATTTTCTTTTCATCATTTACCTGTATTCCTTTTCTCTCCATGCTTGTTTTCCCTGTTTTCTTCTTCCATGGGTGTCCTCTAATGCCACCAAATAGGCTTGACATAAAGAATTGGTTGTAGCGACACTAATATTGGCACACAAAGCGTGAATTCCGTCTCCCCAAGGCACGGCGTGGCAATTGTCGAAATTGAGGTTGTTAATCTGACGGAATCAGATATTTGTTCTGGACTGATTGAGAGAGGGAGGACAGAGACGCATTAGAGCTTCACCCAGCACTCTGTGTATGCCAACTACGTGTGTGTCGTCTTTGCTCAACCGAGTGTGGCCACAAATCTCAGGGGCATAGCCACCCCCTGCTGTTCCAGACGCTCTGCAGATAAACGGCAAAATGAAGAAGTGTTAGGCGCAGTGCTGATGTGCTGCTGCTCTGTGATTTTTCACGTGCATTTGTCCATTGTTTACCACTTTGTACAGGTTTAGGTGCAATGTGTGCACTTAAAACTGAAGTGTCATTTTTTTTTTTTTAAGTTAATATAGTGGTTGTCACTGTATATAATGTTGGGAATTGCATAAGCAAGCTTTTGACAGCAGGCTTGGTTCTGGAAATGTTTTCCCCATTCATTATTCCCATAGGTATTTTTAAAAAGTCTTTGTTTAAGAGTTAGAAAATGTAAACCAAACCAATCAGCTACATGGTGAATCACAACATTAAAAGGAAAAAAAGTGTTTGAAAATGAGACAAAAAGCATATACCAACGAATTAACAACCTCATAGCTCACAATAGGTCTGTCATTAAAAATCAATTTGCCTATGGAGAAAATGAGTGGGATTTTTACTTTCAGAACCCCCACTGTTGCACTTTATAAAAGCATTCCATTTATTTGAGCATTCCAACCAGCCCAACACAGCATTATTGGTTCATCTAATGGCATGAAACGATCTGTTTTTAATGGAAAATGGAGGTTTATTTGGGGAACTTGAATTTCATTGAATTTCCTGATTCAACAGTACAGATCATGCCTAGTAGTAAATAAAGAAACTTTGCCCAAGATAGTGATGATCCAATCAAGATTTTTAGACATTTATTCAGGGCCTGAATTTCATTTTTGAAAATGAATTCCCCTCTTAGAGGACTCTTGTGAGAGGGGATTTTTTTTAATTTGAGGGTTGGAAGGGGGCATTTTTTTAGACATTTTTGCACAAAAGCTTACACGTAGCACAAGCCTGATTTCGTGAGCTGTATGTGAGGCCTTTTACGCCAGGTTCGCAGCCTTTTACACCAGGTTCACACATACTCCGTTTGCAGTGCGTATGCAGTCCATGTGCGGTACATAAGTGGTGCAGAAGCAGCTTTCACACAGGAGTCTGCAACTGATCCGTGGCTATTTACTACAAACACAACATTTATCCATTATTTTGATTTCAAATCCAAACATTGTTACTTAAAATGCTTTTTCAGCATTGTGATTCTTTTTTTTTACATAGTACAGTAATACAATCTTTCATAGACGCGTTTAAATGCAATAAATATAAGAAACACATTATTCAATGCTTTTTATGAACTTTGTTTTACTACCTCCACGAGTGCCATCTATTATTGCCTTGTTTATCTAAAAATGCTTTAAACCTAGTCAAAAATGTTTGTGTTGACTGTGAAACACGGTAGACTTTATATGCATTTATGTTGTAATTACCACATTTTCGTGTCAATCCATGTTCATATTTACCACAAACAATGCGCTGTTACTTTAATTCTTCGCTTGCAGCACTGCAAAAATAGACTCGGTGCGGAAACGATCTCTGCACTGCTGCAGACGCACTGCTCCTGGAACGCACTGCCGGACCGCAACCGTGTGCAGTGTGACCGCTTTAATCTATTAACATGAGCACGGAAAAAAATACAGATATGCACTGCAAACGGAGTAATGTGAACCTGGCGTTATGTGTGTGCACATGAGCGCACGGTCTCCAGGAAAGCGTGCGAGCGCTGAATGGTTAAACACTGGCAAGAATGAAAAAGAAATGCAATTTATAAACTTTAGTGACGACGCGACACTGCCTCGATTGTGCAAGTGACGATTCCTGTGTCGACTGTGCAGCTCGCTTATAGTGCAGACGCGATGTGAAACTGTTTGCGCATTTTATCTTTGAAATTATGTCTCACAGAAAGTTTTCAAATTACTTTGTTATTTAATGAAGAAATATGAATTGTACCTCAACCTTCAGCATTATAATGATTTCACCCACACAAGACAGAGACTGAGACGGTGCTGCTGCATGTCGTGCCAAACCACTCACGGTAGGCGCGTCATCAGCTTGAGATCGTTTTTTTGAGATCGGCCTTTATAGAGACCGCCAATCAATCATCCCAAAGCGATTATTGGCCGATAGTGATCGGTAGCCGATCAATCGGAGCACCCCTACCCAAGACGGACCTTTTTTAATGTCAAATTTATTTATAGATGTGACTTTTAATAAAAGTACATTCATTGTCAGTTTTTGTATGGCCGAGTTTA